CTCGGCTTGGAAACAACAATGAACAATTTGGGAAGAGGAGATACGATTATAACATTTTTACAGTTACCGAGATTGTCAACAACTATAAAAAACGAGCCGCCCATTTTGATTTCCAAGCTGAGCGTCAATTAGGGAGAATTTGCTGCACTTACGATCTAATTTTTTCTCGACACAAACGATTGCAATGGATCGGTGAAATTGTACCAATTAAAATGCGCCAAAAGCCTAAACGCGAACTCGATTCGATTCTGATTAGGTTAAATAAAAATAATATCGTCACAATATTCTCGTAAGTTGTTTCTACAAATTATCGTTTACCTGGGTTACGTCCTATCACTATATTTTTTATTTGTTTACACAATTTTATAAGTTATTCCAAAAAAAATTTGAGATTTTAATCGCATCATCTATGTCGGTATTCGCTTCACTTCGCGCATTCAGGATAGCATACGACGGTTGAGAAATCAGAACAGTGTATTCTTGCAACATTTCGAGAACCGGGGTGAACAAACGCGACGCAGGAAATTGTACGGGCAATTAACACCGGCCGGCTCGGAATAGTTGCCGTGGCACAGGCGGAGAAATTAGCGAAAAATTTCAGCGACGGCCACACGCATCCCTCGAGAAGACGACGCCGCGTTTTCGTCGCGAGATCGTGAAGCGCGTCCACGGCGTTAGCGACGCTCGTCGAGCATATAAATAATGATCCGGACGGTGTGTCGGAGCGCATATCGTGGCCGCGCGGATGCACTCGTCTCGGGTTGACCCAATTGCGGCTAATGAGGTCATTCCTCTAAATACATTCCATGGAAATTGGAAAGTGACGTACCGCGGTCGAGTGAAGTAACTTTGTTCAACGGCGAATCAATTTCTGCAGCGGAATGGCATCGGATCGGATAATGGATCGCGCCGGGGGTTGTTTCGTCGTTTATTTCATTTCGCCGCGCGTAGAACCGCGTCTGCGGCACGTCCGCTGTCTTTCGAACCGCGTCGCGCGCTACCGTTTTGCCCACGATTTCCGGCCAAAATAATTTCGCTCGTTTCTCTGGGGCCACTCGGCGATGGAATAATGCCGTTAATATTACCATTGATTCTTATTGATGGAAAATAGTATGAACGAACATGTAACGTTTATAAACATTTATGAATTTATTTTTGTGAATTTTTCTGTATCCTATGTACTGTTTCGTGAAATTGTAATAATTTGTAAAATTGAAATAATGTTGGGACAGTAGTTAGTTTACGAATAAAATATGCGAACAAATTTAAATATGTTTGAAAATATTATATCGTTGTTTATACCGTTTTACATTGATAAAGATCAATGGTAATTAATGGCATTATTAATTAATGTTGATGGCATTATGAAGTAAGATTCAATTGATATTAATCGAACACACATTGCGACAAATACAAATAAGAACAATAGAAATTTCAGAGAAAAGTGGGATTTAGTCGATACGAAATAAAAATCGTAACAATTGCAAATAAGAACAGTAAAGATTTCAGAGGAAAGTAGGATTTAATCGATACGAAATGAAAATCGTAACAATGAAAAATGAGAACAGTACAAATTACAGACAAAAGTAGGATTTAACTGATACAAAATGAAAATTAAAAACAATTAAAAATGAGAACGGTTGATACATCGACGAAAAGTAAGATTTAATTGATGTGAATTGACAATCATAACGAACGAAAACAGCAAACATTTCAGAGGAACGTAAGATTTAATTGATACATAATAAAAAATAAGAACAGTTTCGTCAAAGAAAAGTCAGATTTAATTGATACAAAATGAAGTAAGATTTAATTGTTGCAAATTGAACAGAGTAACAATTATGAACAAGAACAGTAAAAATGTCGAAGAAGGGTAAAGTTTAATTAAGATGAATCCGACATTATAACAATTAAAGATAAGGACAGTAAAAAAAAATTCCGCAAAAATATAACTACAACTTGATGAGAATTTGCAACAGTTAAAAATAAGTACAGTCGAAACTTCGAAGAAAATGCAATACTCGATGGAAATAATTTAAAAAGTATGTATCGATTGAAATCAAACATGTCTACGGCCGTTCTAATCGACTGTTGCTCGAGAATCATAAACAATAACCCTCTCGTGTTGCATTAAAAGAGCAAAAATTGGATCGAGCAACCGATTCAAAAATGCATTCGTGTCAGCGGAAGCCGGCAACACGCTAAACGGTGTCCGCTCAATTATGAATCACCGAGCGAGGTGGAATTTCGCGAAGCAGCAACGAAGTCGATCTAATAACGGCGGCCCAAAAATGCCGGAAGATTAAGCGAGAAACGAACGATCCGCTGACCGATTAAGTCGAAAACAAACAGCCCGCGGTAAACACTGTTGCAAAACACAATCTGGAGGCCCGGGGTGGAAATAAAATCGGTAAAAACGAACGGAAGAGAGCCGGCGAAAAGCAACGAGGGGCGCGACGACGGCGGGAAAGCGAAGAGTGAAAATTAGTTGGATAAGGAGTAGAAGGAAATAAGCAGAGGAGGGGGGCGCGCGGGGACAAGGAAACGAAAAGAGTGGAAAATTCTCGAGGATAAGAAGGGTGGCGACACGGGCCGCGCGGGGGATGAAGAGAGGCTGCGGGAAAACAAGAATGTTGGTCCGGCACGAGGAGAGAAGAAAGAAAAGTGCAATGGGGGAGGAGAAGAGAGGCTTCGACAGGCTGGGGGGTTGTAAGAAGGGATGGTCTCGGGTGGTCGTGCTCGAGTTTGACACAGTCAGAGACCTGCGTTGCTTGGCAACCTATAAGGGTGGAAGCCCACATTGGCGTACGCCGTGCTAGCAACGAATTTATGCGTGTGGACCACCCGTCATCCACGCCACCCCCATCGGGACGCGTAAAAGAAACCGAATAAACGAACGAAACAGCCTGTAATTGGCGATTTCTTCGTGACCGGGCCTTTCGCCTCAATATATCGCGTTCGTGTATCATCCCCCGTGGGTGTCGAATATATTTTTTCAAATCGGGCCGACATCATTCTTGCGGGAACTGAATCAGGAATTGGACGGAAATTGATTTTCGCCAATTAATTGACCGGTGACTGTTACAATTTGACTTTACTGAAACCATTAAACCCGTTAAAATGACGGCTTTTTTACAACTAATTTTTTTATTTACGATTGTTCGGATTATAAAGATAACTCATAAACATGAGTTATTTGAGTCACTCGTGTCAGTTACTCGTGGTAAATATTACAATAACGCTCGTTAAAAATCAGGATAAATGTCTTATCGTTACTTTTATAAACTAATATGAAACAGCTGCTTTTTGTGCTTCGTAAATTTAGCGTTAAAGGGACACCGTGAGGCTAATGTCAACAAAAAATATATGAACATTGAAAGAGGATCATTGTAGGATGATATTTTTTAACGGGTTACTTTCTACTATACAATGCTGAATACTATCCTGAATTTTCGAAGTGTCTACGTTATCTTATTTCGAGACAAGTTATGTTAAAAGTAACTTTGTGTAGAGATAATTATAATCGCACACTTCAACTACACGATAAAAAGTTTATTCTTTCAATTAGAATCAACAAAAGTTGCTTTATCTGCGTGTTCTGTTGTCCTTCCTTTTGGGCAACGAAACTATTCTCGAAACGAAACGAACAAATCTCGGTAAACAATGAGATAAAGTGACGAGTAGAGTGAAATTAGGATGTTTCGTACGAAATATTTTCTTCTATTTCTGAAATTTCGTCTTCTCACTGTGTTCATGTTTTCATGTTCTCACTGTGCCAAACGAATGGACCGCGGATTTTATGCATTTATGGCAAAAATGATTAGCCATAATTTAGAACAGTGAAAATATTAAAAGAAATGAAGACTGTCGATGTATCAATTCGAACTTACTGCAATTATTAAAGAAAGAAACGAACTCGTACTCGGATCCTATGCGTTGCAATTTAGGGAGACTATTTTTATTTTTCGTAAAGACCCGCAGTCTATTAATGAAACAGCTATACGTTCGAAATAGCCAGGTATTAACCCTTAACACTCGAAAGATTTGTCCGATGTAAGTATAAACCAGCAACTCGGTGAAAATTTCACCAAAATTCTGATTCGGCTACATGAAGTTGCATTAAAATGAAAATCATTACACTGCTGTGAAATTTTATAGAAATTAATAGATAAAAGACTACTAGTTGATAGTAATTCCTTTTTCTAACTAAAAATCTGTTAAAAATCTATTTCATTCAAAAAAAATCTTTCTCGAATTACGAAACCATCAAATTATTGAGATATAATTCAATATTTTGTTGGATCGTCCTTTGTTTAAACAACTAATTGACGTAATTCCTTTTTCTAGTTAAAAATCTATTAAAAATCTATTTTATTCCAAGTTCATTCTTTATTCTAATAACCAAACAGGAATTTCTTTTCGACCTTTTTTATTATTATATTATTCTAGAAATATAAGCTCCAAAATATTAACAAACTTAAAGACAAGATTAAAAAAACTTTTTCGAATTGCTAGAAAATCAAATTATTGAAATATAAATATTGAATATTTCGGTAGATCGAGGGTCAATGAATTAACGATGAATCTCTGTAGAAGATTGCATAGACTAAGGCACGCATCATTGTTCAATTTGTAAGTAAAATATTGCTGTAAATGTAAATTGATTTGAGATGGTTTATAAATATTTCCGATACAAATTAGTCACACGATGGAAATTGGATTTTAATTTTATTACGCAACTCTCCCTTTACAGAATCAGCTTTCGTTCGCCTTCACTTTTTGTAATTTAGCGTACGTGGAGTATCGGGCGCTTTTATTGTCGCATCTTTTTGCGAAAACTATATCTTCGAAACCTTTTTATTGTTCATCGTCCTCTGTCGGGCGGCTCAAAGGAATTTTGAAACGGTTGACGAGGCTTATAGAGTGGGCCGTCAAATAATTGAACGATCCACAATCTATATTTCATGTTTCTTCGTTGGTGTCGCAGTCTATTGTCAGTGTCCTCTGCTGACACGCGCATATACACAGCGACTCGTCTCCATTTTTGTTGTCAATATTTTGGAAATCGGATTGTGTTCTTACATCGGCTGTCTTACATCCTGCCTTTTGTAAATAGTGCAGATATTTTTAATATTTCACATAAGTCCACAGTCTAGTGATTAATTACTAGAACAAAGAACAGTGTAACAAAAAGTTCGATTATATTTTAATAATTTGATTTTCCAGCAATTCGAAAAAGTTTTTCTAATAATTAATAATAGTAATAACTTAATGATTAATAATAACTTGTATTTAACTTTGTTAATATTTTGGAATTAATATTTTTGGATCAATATAATAATAAAAAAATCGAAATAAATAAAGAATAAATTTGAAATAAAATAAATTTTTAATAAATTTTTAATTAGGAAGGAATTGTTGTCAACTAGTTGTTTAAACAAAGGACGATTCAACAAAATATTAAATTATATTTCAATAATTTATACTGTGTTCGTAATTCCAAAAAAAAGGTTTTGAATAAAATAGATTTTTAACAAATTATTAATTAGAAAAGAATTACTGTTAACTAGTTGTCTAAAGAAAGGACGATCGAACAAAATTCTAAATTATGTTTCAATAATTTGATTTTCCATACAAAAAGTTATTTTTTAATAATTCACATAATACGAAGAGTATTTCTTGAATAGAGTTTATTTCCTAGTACGAATTCAATATCGTCAAGTTCATTCAATAAGAAGCAAAGAAACTTGTAAATTATTATTCGCGAGTTTCTGTAGAATTCCGTGTAAAATTGCTCGAGGATTTATACAAACCCGCATAACATTGGATTCCTTAATCCACTCGTGGCTTCTGTTTCTTAACAGAATCAAGGACCACGGGACGAGACGAATAATCTGCTTCTCCTTTGGCTGGAACTATTTCATCAACACGGAAACTTTGTAATTAATCAAGTTTTCAATTAACATAACCAACCTTAGCCCTTCGCGTTCTCCCGTGGAATTCCTTTTTACAAATCGTGTCTCGGCGACCCTGAGTCAAAGGGCTGAAACGTGAAATCGTATTTCACGGAGCAACCAGCTTTCGAATAATTAACGTTGGTTTACGGGTAGGGGTAATTTACTGTCGAATATATAAATATGTTAAATGTATCGGACGTTTTATTACTTGAACAGATACTTGCAAGATCTTATGTACATATATGAGCCGTTTATTTTGAAAGTGGCATAAGTCACTTTGTTTTGAAGTCGATATATTTAAGGGTTTTCGTTTTAACACGTTTAAAAATATGGATGCTAACTTTCGAGAAGATTTACTTGTATTTGTTATCTCAGGATACTGATATTGTATATATTGTATAGTTGAATTTGGATGTGAGAGTACAATTGAATTTTTATTCCGTGATTCAGAGTTTTCATAATTGGGGAAAGAGGTTAAATAATTAGTTTAACGTTTAATCTATTACACCGATAGATAACAAGTTCTAATTAATGTTAGTTTAACATTTAATGAATTTCGTCGATAGAGGAAGAGTTTGAGTAATTAGTTTAACATTTAATGAATTTCGCCTACAGTGAATGCGTTCGAATGTTAATACAAATTCTCATCGAATAATTAGTTGAATAATTAGTTTAACATTTTATGAATTTTGTCTACAGAGAATGAGTTCGAATGTTAATACAAATTCTCATCTTCATACATTATTTTACAAGAATTAGAATTCAGGATAAGTTTTATACGTCAACTAAAACATTGTTCATTATAAACAAAATAAAAGTGCTATTACATCGTGTTAAACGATACGTTTCCATGCACAATAAGAATCTGCACTTGACATAAATGTATAAATATTCCCAGTTTGGTTAGAATTGTACGATGAAGTTCAAATACACTGAAATATGTAACTACAAATTTCAAACAATAGATCCATCGCGTGACATTTGCATGGAATGTGTATACGCTGTTTTTTTACGTTTCTCTCTCTCTCTCTCTCTCTCTCTCTCTCTCTTTCTCTCTAATTAGTGCAATTTTTAACTGTTACAACGATATTAAAGAAAATATGAAAAGGTGGAAAGCCGGCAAAAATTATATTTTTATTATTTCAATTATATTTTTCGCACATTCTAATGATGATACTTTATTTTCAACGCGAAACGAGCTTTACTGCCGCAATTCTTACTTGACTCAGTCACTTGCGTAAATTAATGCATGCAAATTCGAATTTGCATAAACATCTCTAGCTTTTCGCAACTGTTGAACGCTACAAGACCACGGGAAATGTTACCAAGGAACGTTGAACGTTGTTTGAAACAAAGAAGAAGATTTGCATACCTCTTGTTAATGTCAAAGCGGCGTCGTTCGTTCAAATTTGATGATAAACAAGTTACATTTACAATTACGTGTGTTACACATATAATACAATAATAATAATAATAAATTACAATAATTATATGTTACACGTACAAAGTTATTGTAGTCGAGACAATGATCTATAATATTTGTTTCAATTACTTTCGAGATGATAGTGATAATACAAATGTTTCAAGCAATGTATATTTATGGTATATTTACAAAAGAATTAATGATTAATTCCAGATTTATTCTCATTATATTTTTCCAATAAGAATTTCTCATCGAATAGAAAATTGATTTAATAGTCGTCTTTACTTTCACTATCATTTTGATTGTTTACTGCTTTAT